AGTGGGATGGCTTTGAATTTCTCTTCGTTTAATTTGATGTTAGCTGTCAGCATGCTGTAAATAGCTTTTATTATATTTAGGTATGACCCTTGCATCCCTAATCTCTCCAAGACCTTTATCATAAGGGATGTTGAATTTTGTCAAATGCTTTTTTAGCATCTAATGAAATGATCATATGGTTTTTTTCTTTCAGTTTATTTATATGATGGATTACATTGATAGATTTTCGTATGTTGAACCAGCCCTACATTTTTAACTGAGGCAATACTATTGAGTCATTATCAGAATTACCTTGCTACCAGAATCCTAATTTCACGATAGTTTATGGGTATTTGTTCTTCATCTTTTGAGACATTTTATCCATTCTTTTGAAGTTTAAACAACATGTTTTGATTATCGTCACCACATCCCTAACTCCTACCAGGTCCAACCGTCTCTTTATGTTCTGTTTCTTCTTTACTTGTTCTTTCTGTTGTTTGGTTGCTTGGTTAATTTGGGGACTGAAAATTTTGGTTTGGTTTGGTTGTTTGTTGTTTTTGTTGTTTATGTGATTGCTTTGTCTGTTTTTTTTTTTAATATGGGGGATAGTAGTGTACTTATATGTGTTTATGAAATACAGGCTGACTACTGATCCTAATACAGAGAAGCCAAGGTCAATTGCATTCTTCAGAGAATAGCAACATCTCCTGGTCCAATGTCTGGGTTCTGGTTTCCCATCTGTAGTTTATTGGGGTTGATAATGTTTACTTCTATTTAGATGACATAGAAATGAAGGGAGAAAGGTGGGACCATGGGAAGGGAAAGGACTTCCTCATTTTGGAGTCTGCTTGGAGCCTCTTCCTATCTCATAATTGTAGCTTCAGTACAATTAACTTTTGACATGAATAATACTAACAAAAATATGACTCTTCACATATATAGGTATTTTATGTTAAAGTAGCAGTGAGTTTGGCTTAAGACCTGAACATATATGATTTTGAATATAGCATCATCCATTTTTCAGACAACTTTTAAAAATATTTCATACTAGGATATGTCTGAACACAAACTTCCCACAGCGGCACAGATGCTGGATGTTGCTCTGTTGGTGATGGACTGGAACATGTGACTAAGTGGGTAAGGAACTTCTCCTTCGATTCTGCCTCAACAGATCCAAATTGCCTGACAACTGTGGATCACACACGTCCCAGCCATATGAACAAATATTTCCATGACTACAAATGTAAAGAGATATTGTGAATAAACCAACAAAAGCCAATCTGTCCTTGAAGTCAATTCTTAAGAATAAACATATTTCCCTTCTCATGATGAGGCATGACATAATTAACAGCCCACCTGCCCATCAAGATACAGATCTACTTCACTCCTGTCCCCTCAGCTCCTCATTTTAACTAGGACCCAGGAAATGAATGGGTCTTTGATAACATGTGCTTTTGACAAAGTCTCCTTCTGTGGGTTTACTTTAATAAATCTACACCTTTCTTTTTTAAAATAAATTATTGATTTTCTGTGTCTTGTTCAGGTCTCTGCCCCAAGTATAATAAACCTGGAAATTGCGTCATAGAAGAACACCAACATCTCCTTTAGTAACAGTTTAAGGAATTTCTGGAGGATAGGATAGCAAGGAAATAGAAATTTTTTTACAATGAATGGAATTTAAAATAACTTTGAATAAAAATATAATTTATACAATTATAAAATTATACTTTTTTACAATGAATGAAATTTAAAATAATCTTGAAGAAAAATTTTGACTTTCATTCATGAACACCATTCCTACATAATTTCTCTTCCGTTTCCACGCTCCAGTTTCTCCTCTGTTCTTCCTCCCTCCCTTCCTCATAGATTCTACCACAGTGTCATTCTGAGTATCTGGGAAATTCTTTTTTTTTTCTATTCTTTTTGTTGCTGTTGTTGTTTTACTAAAATTCTTTTTTTTTATTGAAAGAAAAAAAAAAGAAATTCCCGCCTCCTCCCAGCCTCCCATTTCCCTCCCCCTCCTCTCACTCTTCTCCTCCTCCTCACACTCCTCTCCCCGTCCCTCTCCAGTCCAAAGAGCAGTCAGGGCTCCCTGCCCTGTGGAAAGTCCAAGGTCCTCCCCACTCCATCCAGGTCTAGGAAGGTGAACATCCATACTGGCGAGGCTCCCACACAGCCAGAACATGAAGTAGGATCAAAACCCCGTGCCATTGTCTTTGGCTTCTCATCAGCCCTCATTGTCCGCCATGTTCAAAGAGTCCGGTTTTATCCCATGCTTTTTCAGTCACAGTCCAGCTGGCCTTGGTGAGCTCCCAATAGATCAGCCCCACTGTCTCAGTGGGTGGGTGCACCCCTCGTGGTCCTGACTTCCTGACTTCCTTGCTCATGTTCTCCCTCCTTCTGCTCTTCATTGGGACCTTGGGAGCTCAGTCCTGTGCTCCAGTGTGGGTCTCTGTCTCTGTCTCCTTTTATCGCCAGATGAAGGTGCTATGGTGATATGCATGATATTTATCATTATGGCTATAGGATAGGACCATTTCAGGTTCCCTATCCTCAGATGCCCAAGGAGCTAACTGGGGACATCGCCCTGGGCACCTGGGAGCCCCTCTATGTTCAAGTCTCTTGCCAACCCTAAGATGGCTCCGTTAATTAAGTTATGTGATTCCCTGATCCTCTATCCAACCTTCCTTTCTCCCAATCATCCTGTTTCCCCAAGTTCCTCCCATTCTCCCCTTCTTACTTTTCTCTCCCCATCTCCCCTTACACCTGTCCCACCCCACCCCCATGTTCCCAATTTTTTGCCCGGCAATCTTGTTTACTTCCCATACCCAGGATAACAACTATATGTTTTTCTTTGGATTTACCTTCTTATTTATCTTCTTTAGGATCACCGATTATAGATTCAATGACCATTATTTGTGTCTAGAAACCAATTATGAGTGAGTTCATCCCATGTTCCTCTTTTTGAGTCTGGGATACTTCACTCAGGATAGTGTTTTCTATTTCCATCCATTTGCATGCAAAATTCGAGAAGTTATTGTTTTTTACCGCTGAGTAGTACTCTAATGTGTATATATTCGATACTGTCTTCATACATTCTTCTATTGAAGGGCATCTAGGTTGTTTCCAGGTTCTGGCTATAACAAATAATGCAGCTATGAACATAGTTGAACAAATGCTTTTGTCATATGGCAGGGTATCTCTTGGGTATATTCCCAAGAGTGGTATTGCTGGGTCCAGGGGTAGGTTGATCCCAAATTTCCTGGGAAACCACCACACTGATTTCCAAAGTGGTTGCACAAGTTTGCATTCCCACCAGCAATGGATGAGTGTACCCCTTCCTCCACAAACTCTCCAGCAAAGGCTATCATTGGTGTTTTTGATTTTAGCCATTCTGACAGGTATAAGATGGTATCTCAAAGTTGTCTTGATTTGCATTTCCCTGATTGCTAAGGAGGTTGAGCATGACCTTAAGTGTCATTTGGCCATTTGAACTTCTTCTGTTGAGAATTCTCTGTTCAGTTCCGTGCCCCATTTTTTAATTGGGTTAATTAGCATTTTAAAGTCTAGTTTCTTGAGTTCTTTATATATTTTGGAGATCAGACCTTTGTCTGTTGCAGGGTTGGTGATGATCTTCTCCCAGTCAGTAAATTGCCTTTTTGTCTTAGTGACAGTGTCCTTTGCTTTACAGAAGCTTCTCAGTTTTAGTAGGTCCCATTTATTCAATGTTGCCCTTAATGTCTGTGCTGCTGGGGTTATACGTAGGAAGTGATCTCCTGTGCCCATATGTGGTAGAGTACTTTCCACTTTCTGTTCTATCAAGTTCAGTGTGTTCAGATTGAAATTGAAATCTTTGATCCATTTGGACTTGAGTTTTGTGCATGGTGATAGATCTGGATCTATTTTCATTCTTCTACAGGTTGACATCCAGTTTTGCCAGCACCATTTGTTGAAGATGCTTTCTTTCTTCCATTGTATGCTTTTAGCTCCTTTATCAAAAATGAGGTGTTCATAGGATTGAGGGTTAAAATCTGGGTCTTCTATTCGATTCCATTGGTCGATTTCTCTGTTTTTATGCCAATACCAAGCTGTTTTCAATACTATAGGTATGTAATAGAGTTTGAAGTCAGGGATGGTAATGCCTCCAGAAGTTCCTTTATTGTATAAGATTGTTTTGGGATTTTTGTTTTTCCATATAAAGTTGATTATTGTCCTCTCCAGATCTGTGAAGAATTTTGATGGGACCTTGATGGGGATTGCATTGAATCTATAAATTGCCTTGGTAGAATTGCCATTTTTAGTATGTTGATCCTTCCAATCCAAGATAAAGGGAGATCCTTCCATTTTCTGGTATCCTCTTCAATGCCTTAATTCTTTATGTAGCATTTTCTAGGCTGGCCTCCCACTCACAGAGATTTGACAACTTCTCTCTCTGAGTGCTGAGCTTAAAGATGTGCAGCACTGAGCCTTGATTTTTTTTTTTAAAAAAAGAGGAATTAGTTATCCTAGTTAGGGTCCGTTTTCCTGTGACAAATATTGTAAACCAATGCAGTGTGGGGAGGAAAGGCTTATTTTGTTCACAGTTCTTCTTACAGTTTATCCTCAGAAGCAGCAAGGGCATGAACTCATGAAGGAGCTGATGCAGAAGTCATGGAGAAGAGCTGCTTACTGGCTTGCTTCCCAAAACTTCCTCATGTTCCCCCCCCTTTTTTATTGATCTTTATTGAGCTCTACATTTTTCTCTGCTCCCCTCCCTGCCTCTCCTCTCTCCCTAGCAAGCTCCCTCTAAGGTCCCCATGTTCCCAATTTACTCAGATCTTTTCTATTTCTATTACCCATGTAGATTAGGTCAATGTCTTAGGGTCCTTGTTGTAGCCTTACTTATATAGAAGGCAGGACCATCAGCCCAGCAATGGAAGCAGCAGTGGCCATCTGTCCTTAGCTTTTACAATGGTTAATGATTAACCCCCTTTGAAGGGGAGCTTTGGATTAGAGAAGGAGATGTCAGTCTCACTTGGAAGTCCAACTGGAAAGTAAGCTATGACTGATTGTGAAGGCTTTCATCATTGGATATAATGGACTTTTCACTGCATTTCCTTCTCCATCTTTTCATGTTTCCCGTCTTTGTACAAGAATCAGGTAACTCTAATTTTTTTTTGTTTCTGTGTTAAATACACACTAGGTTACAGGACATTTACTTTTATGCCAAGAGGTAATGAGAAATGTATGATAATTTTTGTGTGTTAATCATACACCTATATAATTGCACAGCTAGCAAATTATTTAATATGAGCATATTTGAAACAATGACTACAAAATGGGATAAATGTGAGAATAACAACAAGCATACTGCTTCTGAGGTATGTACAACTTGCTCAAACTATAATTTCATGCATGTCTGTTTTATGTAATAAAAATTGCAGACCAGCTGGATGCAAAGGACCTCTTCAAAAATCTGTCATTTCCTTTTAATTATGCCTCTATTCACAGTCAAATAGCACACACACCTTTTTATGTTGAGACTGACTTCTTTTGAAGCTCTTGTTGGTCATTTATGACTTTTTCATTATGTGGGCAAGGCCATACGTAATTTGTTTCATATATTTGTCTATCATTATAAGCTAGTCTATTTTAAGAATCATGAAATAGCTCTGGCTATGAAGGAAAAGAGAACCTGGAAGCAAATGATGATGAGGGCAAAGCAGAATAGGGGCTGTGGTGGAATCAGTGATGGGCAGCTAGGTTGTTACTTTTTTTTGTGTTTTGCTACTTTAGGTTTTCACATATAGTGTTCAGTTTTTCCCGGAAGGCAGGGACCAACCTACCTGTGGAAATGAAAATGTTTGGAGTGACTTTTAACTGTTAGAGAACATTATTTTTCAACACCATGATTCCTGTAATGTCATAATGTCAAGCCTATTTCTGAGATGGAAATGCTGAGGTTCAGGAAAGGGAAATATTGCTAGAAGACTACAGTCCTGCAAACCATCCAGGTGAAGCATTGGCACAGAACAGACTGATGAACACAGTGTTTCTCTAAACTGTAAGCTTGCATCATATGTTGAATTGTTCCTGATGCTCTTGTGTACTTCAGATTTACCACATTTATTTTGTAAAAATAATTAATACAAAGTTGCTTGTAATTTGATCATAAATATGAAACGAGTGACATGCTTATGATACCTTACAAGTAAAATGGATCAAGGTATGCGGCTGGGTTTTTAACCTTTGTGTTTAAATAAAGCCAACACTGGGAAAAATGGGTAGTATTCACAGCAGTTTTCAGAATATTTTCCTTTTTCTCTCTGTATCCTAGTTCCCCACACTGTGGGTTTATTTTATCTGTTTTCGACATAAAAACAAAAAGGACCATTTAGCATCTATCCATTTACTTCTGGTTTCTTTAATTTATTGATAGATTTAATCACATTTTTAGAGGAAATGTAACTTATTAAATCTCTTCGTTTCACGAATTCCTTTGTGTAAGACTATAGTTTATTCATATAATCTCTTCTTTTTAATAAAATGTTATTATTTGAGAACTTCATATAACCTATTTTGATCATATTTACCCACCTATTCTTACTCTTTCCAGATCCATCCTCACCTCACCATGCCAAATTCATGTCCTTCTAAAAAAATAATCAGAATGTAAATTACCCTGTTCTTTGCCCACGAATGTGGGTCTATCCCCTGCAGTGTGTCTTGAGAAGGGATTATATGAGCGCAGGGTAGAGTGGTGTCAAGATCATGACAGGGAAAACCATAGAGACAGATGACTGGAACTTGCAGGCTCTAGATCAACAGGTGGGGATCCTGCATGGGACCTCCGAACCAGGCCCTCTGCACTTGGGCGACAGTTTTGCAGCCATGTCTATTTTTGGACCACCTAGCAGTGGGTACAGGATCTATCCCTAGTTTATAAGCTGACTTTTTGAAGCCTACTCCATAGTGGGATACCTTGCTCACAGCCATGATGGAGCAGGCGGGTGGGGGTGGGTGCTTGGTCCTGCCTCAACTGAATGTGCAAGGCTTTGCTGGCTCCCTTGGGAGGACTTACCTTTTCTGAGGAGTGGATAAGGGAAGGTTGGGGGAGGTGGGAAAGGGAGAGGAGAGAAGAGGGGGGAACTGTGGTTGGTAAGTAAAATGAGTAAAAAAATAAAATATAATATAAGAAAGAAATATATTCTTGATTTGGGTTTTGATCATGAAAAATAACGTTCCTATAAATATCTTCATTAATATTTTTGAAGAACATATGCATGCACTACTATTAGGCATATGCTAGGAGTAGACTTACTGCTTATAAAGTTTATGTTCATAGATAAGATAATCCCACTAAGTATCCCAAAACACATCTGGTATATATGTCGTCCTCAGTTTATCTTCTATTTCCTTGAACACCTTAAGCACACAACTATTCATCTAGGTGTGGAATAATACATACTTTCAGTTTCATATGTTCATATATACATTATCATTAAATACAAATTTGGTCATATATATGTGTATATATATATATATGCTTTATCTTATGTTAGTTAATTCATAATTCTTGATTTTTACCCCATTAAGTGTTTATTAGGAAATATGTACCAGAAATCATATTAGAGACTAGATATTCAATGTTGAAGAATATGCTGTAGTTCACTCCACCCTCCTAGTTCTGAGGATCCATTGCAGGGCTTGAATGTGTCATGCAATCATTACACCACCAGTACTGTACATAGAATCTCCAGCTATATTCCTTTTCATTAAGATACAATCTCACTATGTACCATAGGCTGGTCTTAATGCATGATGTTCCTTCCTCAGTTAGGAGTGTGTTATTTTCCATTGTGTAGAAGAGGCAAATAAAATGGTAATCATGAGGAAGAGAGACAGATGGTATTTGACTACTCCACTGTAATAAGGAAATAAATATCTCGTAACACTGGCTCTCATTTCCAGAGTCTTCACAGAGGATGAAGCCTAAGGATTAGGATACAGCTGTTTCCTAGGAGAAAATAGTTTTTATAAGTCCTGGTTTGACTGACTGGGGAAAACAGAATCATCTTCATGTCTATTAATGGGATTTAAAATGTTAAAACTGTGTTTATTTAAAATATAATAAGATACTGTAAAAGTAAACCCCAGAAACTATTGATTTTTATACATCTAAGCTCTGGGACAGTGAGTTTCTGGCCATGAACCCGTGGACAATTGTTTCTCTGTTTTCAAGAGGAAGAACTCCAGCTGATGGTTTAGATTGCACTGTAAAAGAATACAACCAAGACAGGCAGGGAGAGCAGCTTATTCTCTCTGGGACAAATGGGAAGACTGTTTCAGAAACGTAGTAGAGTGTGTATTTTTTCAAATACACAAATTTACTGACATTCTTTAGTGACGTTATTGTAAAATCGAGTTTTGTGTTTTTGTATCTTGTTTTGTATTTGTCAGTGTTCTCTAGAGGAACACTGTAGGAGGAATACCTGTATATTCTAATTTGTGGCTAGCTGAGATTCAAAGCAACTATCCTAAGGAAATATTTGGGGAGAAATTTTGAAATGCTTTCATAATCGTGGCTGTATTTTGTCATGTAGGAGACCACTCTATAATCCAAATCACATAGAGACTTTGTGAAGATATTTAGGGTCCTATGGGAAGGAACAAACAGAGAAGACAAAGGGGGATCTGCAAGAATAAATGCAGAGGAATAACCATTAGATAGTCATCATGGCTGTAGTGAGAAACACACCCAGCCTTACACAGCCCTGTAGTTGTTTTGTTTTATTTTTTATTTTGTTACTCTTTGCTCTTTGGGTGACTGGACACCCCAATTCCAAATAAATACACAGAGGCTTATTTTTTCCTATCAATGCCCTGTCTTAGCTTGGCTTGTTTCTAGCCAGCTTTTCTTAAATTATCCCTTCTTCGTTGTATATACCAACTACAGTTCCCCCTCCCTCCCTTTCTCCTACCCCCTTTTTCCCCCATTCCTACCCCCTCCCATCCACTTGTCAGGGTCTTCCTTGGGGAGTCAACAAAATCTGGCATACCACCAAGCCCCTCCCCTCATATCAAGGCTGAGCAAGGTATCTCACCATAGGGAATGGGCTCCAAAAACCAGTTCATACACCTGGAATAAGTAATGGTCCTACTGCCAGGACCTCTCACCCCAACAGGTGAAACTACATAACTGTCACCCACATTCAGAGGGTCTAGTTCAGCCTTGTGCTGACTCCCCAGCAATCAGTCTGGAGTCTAGCTGGGGTCAGCTGTCTCTGTGGTTTTCCCTATCATGGTCTTGACTCATGATCTTTGCTCATTTCATCTCTCTTCCCTCTCTTCAACTGAGCTCCACGAGCTCAGCCCAGTGTTTGGCTATGGGTCACTACATCTGCATCCATCAGATACTGGATGTAGGTTCTAGGATAACAATTATGGTAGTCACTAATCTGATTATCGAGAAAGGCCTATTCAGGTATCTTCTCCTATACTACTAGGAGTCTTAGCTGGAGTCAACCTTGTGGGTTCCTTGGAAATTCCCTAATCCCAAAATGACTCTGTCTATCAAGATATCTCTTCCATTGCTCGTCCCCTTCATCAACTCAGCCTTCTTGATTCCTCGTGTTCTCATCTCCAATCCCATCCCTCCTACTCCCTTGTCTAGTTTACCCAGGAGATCTTAACTACTTCCCTTTCCTGGGGCCCTCCTTGTTTATTCCTCTTAGGGTTTTCCTTTTTACCTAGGTTCTCTGGGGTTGTGGATTGCAGCCTGGTTATCCTTTGCTTTATGTCTAATATCCATGTATGAGTGAGTACATACAGTGTTTGTCTTTCTGGTTCTGGGTTACCTCACTGAGGATGTTTTTTGGTTTGTTTGTTTTTTTGTCCCATCCTTTTGCCAGCAAATTTCAATATGTCATTGCTTTTTACCATTGAGTAATACTCCATTGTGTAAAGATACTATGTTTTCTTTATTCAGTCTTTTTTAAGGGGCATCTAGATTGTTTCCAAGTCCTGGCTATTATGAATAATTCCGTTAAAAACATAGCTGAGCAAATGTTCTTGTGGTGTGATTGTGCATCTGTTGGGTATATGCCCAAGAGTGCTATTGTTGGGCTTTGAGGTAGATTGATTTCCAATTTTCTAAGAAA